CGTAACAAGTGCGAAAAAAAAGGTCCGTATTTTTTTTTTTCATTTACCCCCACTTAAAAGATTATATTTTGCGAACAATAGTCTCTCCGTTTTGCGAACAACAATAGTAATCGGCTAACTATAACAATGCCAATAATCATCATCGCATTAAGATGAATCACAATTTTAATAAATTGTGTAATTTGGTGGGCTAATTTACTGGTGCCAAAATCATTTGAATCATACTTCCGACGTTTAATTATTCTGTGTTTATGAGGCTATTTGGACAAGTCTAAAGATCTTTAGTCAGTTAGCACCTCCGATCGCGGGATATTCTGCGCAAGAAAACCTCGAGAGGTTTGAGGAATTGGGCGCGCGCTCTAGCGCAAAGCGCTCATTCTGCTTGAGGTCGTGTGATATCTACACTTTATGGTGTAATTCCTCCTTAATCTGCTGGTAAACGACGCTAGATATGTATGTTTTTCTGTAAGAACTTTGCTATTTAGGGTGTTGTGACCCCATTGTATTTATATTTGCTGTTTTACATTTAGGGCGTTTGTGTGTCTGTGAATGTGTGCATGGGATATATGTTGTTGACCTCCAGCATATATCTGCATCCTAATTCGAACAGTTTGATGGGGTCTGTATGATGAGATTTGCTACTTGTTTGCCACCCACCTGTGGGCTTTACTCAATGATATAAAATAGAGTGGCTTTTGCCTCTCTGTATGTGAATAGCTACAGAGCAGCATTAGAGCTGGTGCCTGGCAACTAAGGCTCCGCCAAGGAACCCTCTAACTATTCACCAACGTCAATGCTTGGGTATGTATATGCAGGACTTCTCTAACATGTTTGCAATGTGCCTCTGTGGATGTTGGTTATGGCATCCGGACTGTGTTTGTGTTTGAGCATGACTTTGATAGACTTGCTGCTATTTCTAAGGGCTCAAGGTTGTTGAACTATGCAAACTTTTTAACCCCCACATTTAAATGTTTAACATTTCTTAGAAGTCATTTAGACTGCAGTTTCTCTCCGACTGCTTTGTAGAACAGTGATTTCCATTCTTTGTGAACACTTTTGAGTTCTTAATTTCTCATTTTCATTTGTAACAATGTATAAGAAAATCAGTGCAAATTTGAGCTTACAACCGACAATCAGATCATTTTTAGTGCTATTTCAAATCTGAAGTGGAATGTTTCTTTTTCTTTATAGTGTTTATTTTCACATGCATTCGTTTTTTATAAGTCCACAGTATATTAATATATCCATATTTGAAATTAATATACAAAAAATGCATTATAACCACAAAAGACATGTTACAATAATGCATGACAAGAACTGTCTACCTAATTATGTAAATATACTCACCCTTGACACATAAGGGTTTGTTGGGCAAGCAAAAGGCTAGATTACCAGAGGATGTGTGTACAAAGGGATAAAGTGCAGCAGAGGGCTTATACCCCACGGATACATTACCAGTGTAGCTGGTGTATGCTGCAAGGGATAGATTACAGTTACGTGGATTGTATAGCTCATTGTGTCTATGTGCTAAAGTGGATATCTAAGTGTGTAGTCCTATAATATAGCTGCTATAAGTCAAGACTTTGAGATTTTTATCTTACACGGCTGGCCACTGATGGCCACATTGGCCCTTTAGTGATAACAGGGACCTGTTACATCTTGCTATTGGAGAGATGAGCACTGCACAATTCTTCAGTGTACAGAGTGCGTCTCAGATGAGAGACGGTGATGTGAGTCACACAAAGCACTGCCCAGACTCCCTTCCCTAAAGACAGTGAACCAAAGAAACAGAGACAGGCACCCAGGAATGGGCAAACTTAAGTTCCACAAAGTGACTCCTTAATTTCAATGCAATGACAAAATGGAAAGACGGGACCCACTTGAGTGAGTGTACATAGTCAAATGTACACTCCACATTACAGACTAAACAACACTAAATCATCGACGTTAACTGAGTTTTTTTAAGTAAACGCTGCATGATTGAAATGTTTTATCGTTCATATTTGTGACCCTGGACCACAAAACCTTAAGTCTTAAGTGTCAATTTTTCAAAAATTTTTACTTAATATCCTAATGTTTTTTTGGCATAAAAGAAAAATCTATAATTTTGACCCATACAGTGTATTTTTGGCTATTGCTACAAATATACCCCAGCGACTTAAGACTGGTTTTGTGGTCCAGAGTCACATTTTTGTTGACAGCTGGCTTGTGTGGGAAAACGCTTAAAAATAAAGATACAAAAAGGGGGTTTTGCAGCAGTGCCAAGAACCGTTTGGGTCCCCCAAAGAACCGTTCATAATAGTTATCGGAAGGAACGAATGTTCTTCTTGGTGGGAAGAACATTTTATATAATCTAAATAACCCTTTTCCACTATAAAGAACATTTTTGTGAAATGGAAAGGTTCCATGGATGTTAAAAGTTATTCCCGGAACCATGGATACCAATAAAGAACTTTTATTTTCTAGCACTGGCCCAAAGCTCTTTTTTTTCTCTCTCTCAGTGACTCAAGAAGCCATCAACCTTTTTTACAGCTAGTTTTGACACCCTGAAAGTTTTGTTATCTTGCCCTGGAGTAGCGGAAACTATTTCACCATTTCAGGTTTGTAAAGGACACAGATCTCCTCCAACATGTTCAGAGAGATGTTCAGTCATTAAGTGTCGTATTGTTGCCATTGTGTGGAAGACCTGTTCTGTCAGCTCCAGGATGGAATGTGCTACGATGGGTCAAGACAGAACACAAGACAACAGATGGCGAGTTTTTGAGAAAGCTGAGGTGACGTCATTAGCGACCCGACCTATTGGATAGAGACACGGCCATCGCTTCTGACGCCGCTCCGACTCTCTCAACATTCAACACTTTGAGCACGCCAATCCTGATGGTCAAGTTTCAGCAAATGTTTCAGCTCTAATGTCCATACTGTATGTTTTGTCATCATTTTAATGGACCCTAAAGTTTCCACAAAGTTGCAGCAAATGAAAGTCAAGGTCTTCCCACAGTTCATCTCTTGCTGTATTCTCATTAGTCCATATGTCCACTTTGTGGTTATCTTAGTTCTGTCTGTGGTGCTGGTGTCAACTTTGTGCTGTATGTGCAGTTCTGAATGAGATCCATGTTGTTTTTGTGCTCCTAATGAGAAGAAGAGTGATTTATTTATGGATTACCTAGCTGTAACAGCCCTAATGTGCAGTGTGAGAGTGTACATGAGTGTGCGTGTGTGTGTGTCTATTTTACCTTTCTTGGAGTCATGTCGCTCAGTAGTTGCTGATGCAACTCTTTGTCATCCAGGGTTTGCCCTCTCCTCCTGTGAACCTATGGGATGAATTATATTAATCTTGGCTTGTCCCTATAGGAGAGAGGAAGGGGCTGTAAGCATGACTATGTCAAAACAAAAACAAGTGAAGGTGAAAGTATATTTGTAAAAGTATGTGAGTTAAGTAGTGCAAAAATATAGAGGATGAGAAGGAGAGAATGAAACAAAGATGGAGATGGAAAGAAATAGAGGGTGTGTGTGTGTGTGTGTGTGTGTGTGTGTGAGGAGGCATGTGTTAGCACCCACTCCCATGCTGGGAACAGCTAGGTTTGAAACTGATCCACCTCATTACCTTATACAGAGAATAATCATCATCACTATACACCAAAGTCATCAATATAAATCTTGTATTGGACGAGATCCAAAAGCACTTGGAGCTTTAGAGTCTTGGTGAAAGTATGGGGCTAATGATGTGGTGTATAGCATGGGGTGAAAGAACAAGGAATACTTCTCCTAAACTCCTCCTGGAAGGTCATGTTAAATACGACATAGAAACATTTTTAAATGTAAAGTCGGCAACACCAAAGCTCCAAAAGTATCAAAACATTTATTTTTTTTTAAAACTGTCGCAAATACATTTTTTAAAAATACATTTTTTGATACTTTTGGAGCTTTGGTGTTGCCGACTTTACATTTAAAAAATGTTCCACTTGTTTCTTAGTCGAGCACCCAGTTGAGATCGATGTGCGTGCTTTTGCCTGCTCTTCACAAATACGACATAGAATAAAAATTTTGCCGAAGAGCAAAATTGTATCACTGCCTCTATTAGTTTAAACATCTTTGACCATTTACCTTACAAATATCAAACAAACCACTCCCATTATTGTAGGAATAGATCTGACACTGAAAGAACAATGAATAGTATTAAAAGCAATGAACTAACATCTGGCACATAAGCTCCTTTGGCAGACAGAGGGTCTCAAGCTGACAATAGTTTAAAATATCAAATACAGAGAGGGCCAGGGAATAATAGATCCTTGATGTGGTGGGGGCAAGGAGTGAACTCTTTACTTTGAAGATACCTTTGTGGAGTCACAGTTGCAAATATCTATTTCAGCAGATGATCTATTGTCTTGCCACAAAAAGGTGTTTCATTAACCTAAAGGCTGTCCATTAGGAAGCTGTTGAAGCCTTTGGTGGCTGCAAAGCCGAATAATTTAAAGTGGAATGAACTATGGAGATTTAGATGGCAAATGCAATAACTTAAAACCATAAATTATCTTTGAACTGAGAACTGCAAATGTAATAACTTAAAACCATAAATTATTATTTTACCGGTTATACAAAAGAAGCTTTGTGCGTGAAACTAAACAAGTTTCAGGTGTAGGCTATATAATTTCCTATGTCTAAATAGGAATAGTCAGCGAAAATGAAACTTGGAAAAAAAACTGAATGCGCATTAGCTTATGTGATTCCCTTTGGTAAACAAGGGACTCATATTTTATATATATAGGCTACCTTCATTATTAAGGAAAAACGATCAAAAGCCCACACTGACTCAGTGGTAATCAACTGAAAGAGCACTTAAGATACGATGACTTAAAAAACCCGTCATTCAGGACTCAATATATCCAGGAATTAAAAAGGTTTCTCTCATATGTTGACCTTTCGGCTCACGGCAAACGCCATAATAACATACTTTCCGGTTACTCGTTAGGCATAAGCGTCTCACTCGTCTGGCGCTCGGTCTCGCTCGCGCTGGAGTCACATGTTTCAACGTCACGGCAGTAGCTAGTTAGTTACTGTAGTCGCGAGGAATGAAGCCGTCATTTCAAGCTGGAGAGCTCTCTCAATGCGCACTACACCGCGAGCGCTCACCATGCCATCCAACTGCTTCAACCCAACTCCAAAGGATCCGCTCAGTCATGGGAGTCCATTACCTCAACCATGCAATTTCCACCATCAATAATTTAATCTATTTGCTCAAAAGCTGAAGAGACAACTTGCAGCTGCTGCTTGGCGAATATCGCAAAATAGTTACGCGGAGGGCTTATCCAAATCATCCCAGATGACACTGTCCTGCTGAATGGTCTCCTTTACGACTGGACAGAAAAGGTTGGTTTTTGCTCGGAATAGAGTGATTAGGCTGCTGCAGGGTTTGTATTGGCTGTGGCTGAAATGAGAAGGGGAGTTAAGAAAGTAATCAAGTGTTGGATCATGCAGCGGCAACATGAAACGCTATCCTCGCGTTCATTAATAAGATACGGCGTTATTATGTTGATTGAATTTCTGATAGGGCTCAGTAGATGCAAAAAGTTGTTATGGGTTATTATCCAGCGCTCTTAGCTCTTTGTCCTTGCCGCTTTTATGTGTTCAGCTGTTTAATGTTTAGTTTGATGATATTTGCGGCAATCGGGCATAAAGGACGTGGATATTTTATTAATGTGTACATTTTTACTTATTAATGGCGTAAAAGTATTACCAAACGGCATATAACAACATATTTACTCTCAAGGATGGACTGTTTATCCAGTTTAAGCGAAAACTATGTGTACGGACGTTCAGAGAATAAACGCGTTTCGTGAATTCAGTTAGACTTGCAGAACATGAAACTTGAGATCATCGTTTAGGTTTACCGTGAAGAGTCTAGCCTTCCCCTGGAACAGATAAACTCCCAGGGCGAAGATACATTATAGTTCTGGGCCGCTTTTGGGTGCCAACTGGCCAAAACTGCTTAAACTAATTCATGCTGCTAATTGACTTTGTTGTAATGCTGTTTAGCATTTATATAGTGACCAGCATGTCACGATATCTATAATATATTAAAGATATGCACACAAATTTGTTTTAGATGAAAAGCATATAGATGATGTAGGCTGCAGCAAAGAAATCAGGCCTATTCATTCTTATTAATCTGCGTTCTCTCTTGTTTATGTGTCAGAAAGAAAAATATGTTTCTAATGGTCTATTTCTGCTTGCCTTCACTTCAAAATGCGCTTTATGTAGACGAATGCGCCATCTAGTGCAAAAGTGTTGTAAAGCCTGTTAACGAGTAAAGGATGGATTGTGTGGATGCTGCTGTTTTAAAACAATCGTCTGTCTCAGACACCACTTTTCTAGTTTAGAAAATCTAACATGATGTTAAGTTTACACTAGCTGTAATGGCATAGGCCTATTGCCGCACAATCGCGTCTTGAGAAGTTTTTTGATAGCTGGTACCCGCAGGACGTTTCAAATTCCTTAGAAAGTTCCTGGGAAAAAACTCAATCTCTACTAACATATAGAGTGGCAAATCTTAGAAGATATTTCACTCGCGGGTCCAGTTTGCCAATGCGTTGCCCTTTCTCCTCTTACGAGAACAGACGAAACTTAGCTATACATAAATTATTACAGCACTTATTTGTCTTTGTCTTCAGTATTGTATAAAGCGCTATACAAATAAAGGTGACTTGACTTGACTTCTGCCTTTCAGCAATAGAGACATGGGCTATTTACATTCCCAAACAAGTGAGCGACTTTTACAATGACTTTCAGTGGGGTCGTCTGTTTTGTAGGAATGTTTAAAGCATTCTGTTTATGATTATTGTACATAATTGTAGCCTACCCTTACCAAAAAGTAGTATACTTCAAGTTTATTTTAGTAAGTATACTTAAGTAAAGTTCAAGTATATTTTTAAGTATACTTTACGTAGTAAGTATACAAATATCAGTGTACTAGTAGTATACTTGTAAGTGTACTATTTCAATACTCCTTGGGACTAAATTGGCCCACTTTCTAGTATATAAAAGTATACTTTTAAGTATAACAGTAGTAAACTTTGAGTACACAACTAGTTTACATTAAAATGTTTAGTTTGTACTGCAACTATACTAAAAGTGAACTTATAGGTATACTGAAAGTTTACTAATTAAATACTTGTAGTAGCATTTTTAGTACACTTTGAAGTATAGTCTCAGTAAACTACTAGTTTAGTAGTTTTATACTGCAAGTATACTCGTAAGTTTTCTTTAAGTGAACTTTACATCATACTTTAAGTATACTACTATGGCCCTATTTAGCTATTAATTTGTATATATTTTGTTACATGAATATCTGAACATACAAACATCAAAAGAACAGGGTATCTGCTTGTAAACAAAAACATTTTATTCTAGCTTCATGCATTCTTTTTTTAAACACTTGAATGTGGATAAGTTTCATAAATAAAAAATAAAGAAATAAACTAACATTTTGAACAAAAAAGCTGAAAAAAGACTATGAATTGGATTCAGAATGATAATCAAAAAGTAGATAGAGTCGATCAACGATTCCATAATGTTACATAGTTTTGATACTGTTTTATGTCTGATGTTCGTGTTAGATTACATGTGGAAGCATCTGTTGTTTCGGTTTCTTCTTCACTTGTGTTTTTTGGAAATTCTGATCAGAAGATGTGTACTACAGTATTACAATGAAAACATGGATTCTAGGAACACAAGTATAACTCAAATATATTTAGACCTTTTCTAAGTATAAGTCAAGTATACTTAAATGTCATTTTAAGTATATTTCTAAGAAGTACATAAAGCCCATTTCTGAGAAGTACATAAAAAGTAGACTAAAAGTATACTTTCCTATTTTTAGTTTAAAAGAAGTATACTAATAGCACACTTGAATAAACTTCTTTTTCGTAAGGGTAAGGATACTTCTCTGGGTGTAATCTGTCGAGTTTCGTCTTACGCAACTTGCCACTAGTTCGCCAAGCGTCAATTATCTAAGACTTTTTAAACAAAGCATTTATTATGATATACTGTGATTATGTTAATCTGTAATGAAGTGACCGCCCGGTACTGATCATACTGCGCGTGCGCAGTTTACTATTGTTATGGTTGCCTCCGACATCTGTTCCGTTCGTTATTTGACAACAGGTGAAAATACGGCCTCCGACTAACTTAAAATCTAACTTTTATCATTGGTTTTGCTTGTAAAAAAAAAAAATGTTGAAACATATTGAAACATCTCTCTCCTTTTAGTGTTTTATACATATTTTGTTTAGTTTTCAGCAGTATACTGATACAAATTTCTGTAATGTTGAGAGTTTGCATCAATTTACCTTTCTCAAAATGCAGTTTCGTTAAAGATCATGACGATTTTTGTGTTAACTAGAGCTATCCTTTCAGCAAATCAAGCATATTTGGGTGTTCATCACTCTGGTTGCTTTTGTACATTGCACCTTTAACATTATTTATACAGTTTGAGTTAGACAAGTTAGAGGTCTTGAACTCCTTGAACAAGCATCAACTCAACCTCTTGAAAAACCTTGCATTTGAGAACACAGATTTCACCATAGATGAACAAAGAGTGTTCTTTTGCAGTTGTCCTTTGTTGTGTTACCACTAATGCCAGATTGTAACTATTATGGATTCTACATTTTAATGTGTCCTCAAAGTCAGAATAATAATTAACAGCTGAGACACCTGTGTGAGCTTAGGTGATGCACACTACAGTGTTCTTGTCATTGACACAAGTATACCAAAGCAATCTAAAATCTTTTCTCATGCTACAAACATTTTCCCCAACCTTTTTGTTCTTTTTTTCAGATATTTAATCATGCATTGTTAAATATCTTTGTCCTTAAGGAGTGAATGCCTTTTTCATTTTCCTTTAGAGTGCTAAAACTAACAGACAAGTATCTCTTACCACAATTCTGTTAAGTTGGAAGAACCTTATGCATCTGTCAAGAGTGGTTTTGTTTCTTAATCCCTCCATGGCATGAAGATTTAAGATAATACAGTTGTGGGGGGGATCAAGATCATGCAGACCAACCTATCCTGTCGTGCCTGCCCCTTTCCAAACAATTGAGCAGGTGCATGTGGTCTTTTTGACAAAACCATAGAGCTGCCACTCATGCCCAATTAAAGTACAATCATGTTTTACAGTGAAAGGCGTTTGAACGTGCTCCTACCAAGCCCTGACCATATGGATCAAATACAGCTGTGTGGATGAAGTATTACATCAAGCCTTCAGCACCTTACTTTGTAGATAGAAAGCTTGAAAGATCACTGAAGTCTGAATGGTTTCTCATGTGAGAGGTTTGATTGATGGAAACCTTGTTTGTTGGTTATTCAATGCCTTTTAATGAATCTGGCTTCAAAGGTCTAACAAATGGGGCACAAAAAGCATGAATTAGCAGCTTTGTTTACATGACAGTTGAACGGATTATTACGGCATCAACCATGAAAGTCCTCTTCTTTATTTTAGACATTTAGACACACCTGGAACCATGAAGAGATTATTTTTTTGCTGCGGCTATAACCGCATTACCACTCACTTTCTTTGACCCATAAAAACACCTGTACTGCCTTGTGTACACAAACACAACTCATGTTTGCACATCATACCGTATGATGACAGGATATTGATATCGCATTATCATGCGCAGCTCAAACACACGCATATTAAAAGCAGAACAAACATGTCCGTCAAGGTAATCTTGTCTTCCCTCGCTACTTTGAATGAGACAGAAGGTCTCAGTAATTGCCAACTCAGTCCCAGAGCAATAAAGTGATTCATCGTCTAGATTACATTTTAACAGGAAGTTGATTGAGAGCATAATCCATATTGATTCTCTTGATGGAAACAGGAAATAGCAGAGTTAGAAATAAAATAGTTTGTTGTTCCTGGTGAGAAGGGACCCCAGAGGAAAATGGAAAGCAATTGCGAGCTGATGGGTGGCACTGCCCCCTAGCACCACTCCTTCTAGCCCCACCGCCCTTTTCCTCTCATCTCCCTTTGAGACCAGAGAGACGTCATTAGGGTTGTTGTGCTCTTGGCCTCCACCCCCTGCCACACAACTACACACCGGTGCTCTAGTTTAATTAGGAGGGAAAGATACAATTTAGCCAGCGCTGTGCACCAAAGTTCAGTAGTCAACAATAACTGACCTTTGCCCTTTTGCATGATAACTCGAGCCGTGTAGCTCCGTAATATATTTAAGGTTATGTATTACCGGTAGAATTTGGATGAGAGATGGCATTGGTACTCCACCTGCTGTCAGGTAGGGCAACAGAAGGGATTTGGGTGTCAGCATGACTGATGCTGGTATTTCATTCAGAAGCCTCTGCAATATATATATAAATCCTTCTCTCATTAGGGAGACGACAGATGTTTGCTAATTGGGATCATCCTGAAACTGGGGCGGTTTCTGAGCTATGCTACTCTGTGTGTGCGTAGACCCATGTTAAGGTTGTCTTGAGAGCAGGAACGCTGACAATAATCCATCCGTCCTCACTGGCGCGACACATCTGGAGGAATGAAATAAGATAGTGTCACTGAATAATCCTCAGGCAGGCACTTTAAATTCCTCTCTATATTCAGCAGAGATAATTGCTGACAATGTAAGAAGCTTTTTCCATTACGGGGAAAGCTGACAGACTGAAGTATCTTTTCATGCCTGCAGAAGCAGCTTGTACACACATTTTGCGCGCTGCCTGATTTGATTCAGATTGATCTGTCCTCCACAGCTGTATCCTCGGCTCTGGGTTTTTCCATGCTTGTTTTTGACCATTTGAGAGGATGCTCCCACCTCATCTCCCTAGCCAAACACACACACACACGCTCACACACACACACACACACACACACACCCCTCGTGGACTGCGACGTCACTGAGCGAGGGGACTTTGAGCTCATTAAGTAAAGGGCTGTGATATTCTGAATCGAGACTATGGGACTCCCAACTGGCCTATTTATAGAAAGCACATCTCCATGGCAGTCATCGCTGCGCTAGCAAATCGCAGCCGTGGCCCCAGACACCAATTAAGAATGAAACAAATGCCTTTTAGACAGGGCGTGTCCCTCCTTCTCTCCTACCGGCCCGTACTGCCTTCTGCTCTGGGAGCGGATCCTCCCTCTGCCTCTTCCTGAGGCTGCGTGGGGCATCAGGAGGACAGCACACAGAGAACTGGCGAAGCCTTGCTGCGGTGCCGGATATTTTTAAATGCACCCCCTCCACCCCCCTTTCCCCACGCCTATCTCTCCCCTTCTCCTTCTCCTTCGAAAAGTGAGAGTAATGTGTATTTTTTGTTGTTGTGTATGCATGTTCCCCTGACTGTTCGTATGCGCTGGGATGCCGTTGGATGCAATGAATTGCAGTGATTCATAGAGGGACTTCAGAGAGGTAAGAGAAAGCTGCAGAGGAAGGGAGAGAGGAGGAATCAAATAGGTTCAGGGTTTCCTGGAATTTTCATTTAGTTGCATTGTTTTTGTAGTCAGGAAAATGTCATTGACTAGAACATGGCAGTTTGTGTGTAGGTATGAATGAGTTAATGAATGACTGGCGTCTTTTTCAATTCTTTCTGCCTTTCTTCTTCTCTATGTGTCTTTCTCTGATCACTCCATTTCAAATCATTCTCTGCATTTTTACTGTCTTTCCTTATCTCTCTATCTCCTTCAGTTTTGAACTCTCTTAGTGGGAAAGATAATCATCACCCTATTGTGTGGGTACCTTCTTCCAAATTAATTCTGCTCAGCTGATTCCAGAGAAGTTTAGATGTTGTTATATATTTGGGAAGTATATAACTCATGTATAACTCAAATATTCTAAACAGAAATTAATAGTTTAAAAAATAAGAACATTTTATGATTTTTGTAGTAACAATTATATATTATTTTAATAATATCAAAATGTAAAGTAAAATTAATCCAATATTGAATTACTCATGAAAAACCTTGATGATAGAAGCTGTTCTGTCATTTTTTGGTAGGCTTTGCATGTCACCTATATCTGTTCCGTCTGATACTCACACAAGCAGTTTACACACCTCTAAGGGAACAGAGGAGGCAAGGGAGTAGGAGAGCAAGAACGAGGAAAGGAAGGGGAAGAGAGAGACGGAGGAGAGTAGGAGCAGTTCTCTCGTGTCCTCTTAATGATACTCCAGGGTTTCTGAATTTAGCCCGCTGCATTTGCTGGTGGGGGGAAGGGGGGCACAAACGTGCAGGTGTGTGTGCAGGGACGGAGAGAAAGTTGGCACGTTTTGTTTGTGTCTTACTTTTTTATCACATTATGGAAATGATTTGTGAATTTCATTGGGTACAATAACGCAAGGCCATTAATAAATGTGTTTAATGTAATGTTTATTGCAGCATGGTGAATGGAAATGGTTGCTTTACATTGTGTTTTCTCTTCTTCCCTCCCCTTTCCTCACTCCCCCCATCCCTCTTGTCTTTCCCCTTTTGCTGTCTCCAGTTCCAACAGGTTAGAAGAGTGATGACCATCCTGTTCGTTACTATGGTTATTTCATACTTCAGTTGCATGAGAGCTGCGCCCATGAGAGAGATCCCGGGCGTGCAGGGGGGTCACCGGGCCGAGGGGTACCTGGGCGCCGCTGCTGCCATCACCTCAGGCAGCCGAGGCCACGGGACTCCACAGAGTGGGGGCGGGCTGCCCTCGCTCACGGACACTTTCGAACAGGTGATTGAGGAGTTGCTTGAGGTGGAAGGAGAAGCGACGCAGCAACTGGACCCCAGGGCCGACCAGGGCCAAGGAGGGGGTGGTCCCGCAGCCATGGCTGACTCAAAGGACGTTGACATGTACGCCTCGCGGGTGATGATCAGCAACCAAGTGCCTTTGGAGCCGCCGTTACTCTTTCTCTTGGAGGAATACAAAAACTACCTGGATGCCGCCAACATGTCAATGCGTGTGCGACGGCACTCGGACCCCGCACGGCGAGGGGAGCTCAGCGTTTGTGACAGTATTAGCCAGTGGGTGACGGCTCTGGACAAAAAGACAGCCATAGACATGTCAGGCCAGACGGTCACCGTCCTGGAGAAGGTCCCCGTGACTAACGGTCAGCTGAAGCAATACTTTTATGAGACCAAATGCAACCCCTTAGGGTACACAAAGGAGGGCTGCCGAGGAATAGACAAGCGGCACTACAACTCGCAATGCCGGACAACCCAGTCTTACGTGCGAGCCCTTACCATGGATAGCAAAAGGAAGATCGGCTGGCGGTTTATACGGATAGACACTTCGTGCGTATGCACATTGACCATTAAGAGGGGCAGATAGTGTACACAATGTATAGATTTTATTGAGAGTTCTAAAAAAGAGAGAGAAAAAAGAAAATATCTATTTGTATATATACATAACAGGGTAAATTATTCCGTCAGATGAAAATTTTATGGACTGCATGTAAAAAAGATGAAGTTTATACAGTAAAAGTGATACTACAGTCTATTTATTGAACATATTCATGATCTTGTAAACAATTAAAAAAGATCTGATCAGTCATTCGCGCCCAGTTCAAATTACTATACCACATTCCTCAAGACATTGTGTTTTTTACGTTGCCAAGATTTTGAGAGATGAGGAGAGGGGGTGAGGAAGAATTACATTCAAGAAAAAAAAACTAAAAAAAAACCTAAAAAACTTGCATGCTGCTTCAATTGTGAATTGAGAAACTGTCCACTTTGGGAAAACAAGGAAACGATTTCCGACCAAAACATTCCGTTTACATTCTCAACCGTAACAGGATTTCCTCCTCTCAGTACTCTGTCTGTTTACTATCCTCAACTTCTCAAGTTAATGTTGGAAATACATACTATGTCAAGGTGCTGTTGTCAAAGCTTTGCTGTTTATTTTTTTATCCACACAAGATGAAAAGATATATATAAAAAATATATAAAATTTATTCATTGACATGTGTTCTGGATTAATATAATTCATTTTGTATGTTGTGAAGTTGTTTGCAATATTAAATTGAAATATTTGAAGAAATAAAATTACTATAGGCAACTGAAAAACAAACCCAATGTCAATAAAGTTTGAGCTCTCCCTTTGCAGGTCTAAATTTGGCACAAGCTTTGGAGAGAACATCTTCTCTCACAACGAACATACATTGGATCCTACATTCAAATTATTTTAAAAGGGATAGAGGTCCATTTAAGTACCTCCCATTCTCTCACCATATATATATAT